GCACAAATTTTGTGCACCGGGCCTCTAGTTGATGTATAAAAGTGCAACTGCTTTCTGAATATTAATTTTGTATCCTGATACTTTACTAATTCCATTTATCAATTCTAATAGTTTTTTTTTTCATGGAATTTTTAAGGTACTCTCTATGTAATATCATATCAACTGATGATAATTTTACTACTTACTTTACAATTCGGATGCTTTTTATTTCTTTTTCTTCTCTATGGCTGGTATTTCCAATATTATGTTGAATACAAGTGATAGAATTGGACAACCTTGTCTTATTCCTGAGCACCTGAGCATAAGTAAAACACTTTTAGTTTTTCACTGTTGAATATGATGTAAGCTGTGGGTTTGTCATATATGCCTTTATTATGTTGAGTTATGTCCTCTCTATTTCTACTTTGCTGAGTTTTTATCAGAAATGGATGCTGAATTTTTTCTACATCTATTGATATGATCATATGACTTTTATCCTTCATTTTGTTTATGCGGTGTGTCACATTAATTGACTTTCACATACTAAAACATCCTTGCATCCTGGTAATAAATCTCACCTGATCATGGTGTATAATATTTTTAATGTACTGCTGAATTTGGTTTGCTAATATATTGTTAAGAATTTTTGCATCTATGTTCATCAGATACATGGAGCTATACTTTTCTTTTATTGTAATAATATTTTGGAATCAAAACCAGATGTTGGCCTCATAAAATAGGCTTGGGAACATTTCCTCTTGAATTTTTTGGAATAGGTTTAGAAGGATAGGTGTTAATTCTTTAAATGTTTGCTAAAATTCAAGTGTGAAGCAATCTGGTCCAGGACTTTTGTTTGTTGTTTTTTAAACTATTGATCCATTCCCTTAGTAGTTATAGGTTTGTTCAGATTTCCTGTGTCTTTTTGACTCGGTCTTAGAAGACTGAATGTGAATTTATCTATTTCTTTGGTTAGTCCAATTTGTTGGCATATAATTGTTCATAATATTTTCTATAGTCCTTTGTATTTCTGTGGTTTCAGTTTCACTTCTTTTTCATTTATGATTTTACTCATATGGATCCTATCTCTTTTTTCCTCGTGTTATTTTTTTTAAACTACCTCGTTTTATTGTTCTTTTGTAATTTTTAGAATCTTTTATTTATTTCCTACTTTATACTCCCTTTGGGCTTTTTTATTTCCTCATTTTCTAGTCCCTTAGGTGTAAGGTGAGATTGTTTAAGATTTTTCTTATTTCTTGAGGCTTTTATTGCTATGATTTTTCCTCTTAGGAGTTCTTTGGCTGCATCCCATAGATTTTGGGTTATTGTGTTCTCGTTTTCATTTGTTAACCCATTCATTATTTATTAGCATGTTACTTAGCCTTCATGTGTTTGTAAATTCTTAATTTTTTTTGTAGTTGACTTCTGTTTTAATACCATTGTGGTTGTTGAAGATGGCTGGTATGATTTTAATCTTATTAATTTATTGAGACTTGTTTTGTGACCTAACGTGATCTATCCCCAAAATTTTTCCGTGTGCACCTGGAAAGAATGCATATCCAGCTGCTTTTGGGTGAAGTGTTCTAAAAATATCAACTAAATACGTGGGATTTAATGTATCATTTAAGACCACTGTTTCCTTTGTGATTTTCTGTCTGCATGATCTATCCATTGATGTCAGTGGGGTGTTAAAGTTCCCTCAATTACCAACTACTGTTGATCTCACCCTTCATATCCATCAATATTTGCTTTATATTTTTAGGTGTCCCTATACTGGGTACATAAATATTTACAAGGGTTATACTCTCTTGTTGGATTGATTCCTTTATCATTATGAAATGTGCTTCTTTGTCTCCTTTTGTAGCCTTTTATTTGAAGAATACTTTGTCTAATATTAAATATTGCTACCCAGTTTTTTTTCATATTAATTTGCATGAAATTTTTTTTCTGTCCTTTACTTTCAGTCCTTGTGTGTCTTTTAATCTGAAGTGGGTCTCTTGTAGACAGCATGTGTATGGGTCTTGTTTTCTTATTCATTCAGCAAGAGGTACAGGGCATTAGGACAGTTGTTGCTTGTTTGGGAATTTATGGACCTTTGAGAGATTCTGGGAAAGTCTGCAGCATAAGCCCAGATCAACAACTTACGTGTATTAGCCTCTGAAAAAGGTTCAGGCCAGGTAGGGTCTCAGGGAATCATTAGGGTGAGGCAAGAGCCATGTTAACCTGGTTAATGGAGACTCAGACTTGTTGCTTCCTCGCACCTACAGGCTGAGAGACAGGAGGGCTCAATAACAACAATAAACAACAATAGTTACTGCTAGCACTTCTGTCTGCACCTGCTGGCTGTGTGGGAGGAGGGCTGAACAAAGGAACAATGGCACCTGCAGGCACTTTAGTATGGGAGAGAGCTCCCACTCCAGTTCTCACCCTGACCCAGACAATTCAGTCTCCCCCTCGCCCGTTATTTTCCTAGCACTTTTTGAGCTGCTGCCCTTTCACTGGAGCTTAGGGCAAATGTTTGTGAGCAAATAAGTCTTTGCTCAGGCCCTTTTGGAGGACATCTGGGTCTCCAGTAGCTTTGCATCTGACCAAAATTGAGTTACTACTGATTTTCACAGCCAGCTGTTGTGTGGACTACTCTTCCCAGCAGTGGGGTGGTTGGTGTAGGGCGGGGATCCCTGGCTCCTCCAGGGGAGATCTCTGCTGCAGAGATATCCCTTTTAATTCTTAATGGCTACATGTGGGTGTGGGACCAGCCCTTCTGCATCTCCACAATTCCTACCAGTTTCAATGTGGCTTCTTCTTTATATCCTTAGATCTAAGAGGTTTTTTAAAAAAATATATTTTGTTGATTTATTTTACAGAGAGGAAGGGAGAGAGATAGAGAGTTAGAAACATCAACGAGAGAGAAACATCGATCAGCTGCCTCCTGCACATCTCCCACTGGAGATGTGCCCGCAACCCAGATACATGCCCTCCACCAGAATCGAACCTGGGACCTTTCAGTCCGCAGGGCGACGCTCTATCCACTGGGCCAAACCAGTTTCGGCTAGATCTAAGAGTTTTAGTCAACTAGTTTTCAGGTGGTTGGTTCTTAAGGGTGGTTGTTTTATACTTTAGTTGTAATTCTGATTTGATGTTGTGAGGCAGTGAGCACAGCATTTACCTATTCCGCCATCTTGACTGGAATTTTAAAATAGCTAAATTCACATAGCTTTTTAAAAAATATGTTTTTATTGATTTCAGAGAGGAAGGAAGAGAGAAAGAGAGATAGAAACATCAATGAGAGAGAATCATTGATTGGCTGCTTCTTGCCCATCCCACAATGGGGATCGAGCCCACAACTTGGACATATGCCCTGACCAAGAGTCAAACCTCGACCTCCTGGTTCATAAGTCAATGCTCAACCACTGAGCCAGGCCAGCCGGGCTAAAGTTATATAGTTTTGACAAAATGTCCATGTTTTGACACATTCTTTGCCAACATTATGTATTATTGCATTGAAATTTTCTTATTACTATTATTTGGATTGTTTTCAAAATTTAATTATTATAAACAATACTGCAAAGTTTCCTTGGGCTAATGTTTTTTCTGTGCTTCTTTAGAATAGGTTTTTAGAAACTGGGTGAAAGAATAATAAATATATTGAGGCTTGCTACATATATATATATATATATACATATATATATATACACATATATATATGTCTTTCTAAAAGTTGTACAAATTTATACTTACCAGCAGTGTAAGAAAATACCTGTTTCTGCATAAATATGTCATCTTAACCTCATGAAAGAGTCTTAAGAGCATTAACCTGAAATTCCTCTCACAACCTATATTGGAAAAGGAACTCTTTGTAAGTTTAGTAACGGGAGTAATGGTTAATATTTGTTATAAAGGCTTTGCATAGTTCGTGAGAGCAATGTACCATACATTAAACAGGAGTCAAATTAATTTTTCATATTGTGGAAAAGAATGTGTATATCAATCAAACCAAATAAAGTTTTGGCCACATCTACTATTAGTAAGGCACTATAGTAGAAACTGGAGAGTATGATCGATTGTAAGAGGCTTAGAGTTTGGTTGGAAAAGTATAAGCACCAAAGGAGTTCAATAACAATATGATATTTAAATAAGTTTCTGAAAATAGCACAACTTAGTACAAAATTATTTGTCAAGGAAGCAATGTGGAAAATGAAGCTGCTACAAGTTCAGAGAGAAAGAAGATACTGCATGCATCACTCACTAATTGTTCCCTACTCAAACATTCTTCCTGGCTCAACTCTAAAGAATCCATCCTTACCCTTTATGACAAAAGTTTTGTTGATTGGTCTCTCCTTAATTACTGGATGCTATAAACGTATCTGCCCTTCTGGGATGCTATTTCTGGCTATAAATAATACAATTCAAATTGGCTCTACGCCAGTATTGGAAAAATGCAGAATTTCATGAGGTTAATGAAAGCGATTATTGGAATACTACTCAAATCACACAAAAAGCCAGTTAGACAAGTTAAAAGTGAAATAGAGAAAATCTGTAAGGATTATGATTCAATGGGTATACCAAAGGAGGGTAATTTAAATATCAAATAATTAGAGAGACCACTGGAGAAATTGAAAAAATCCTCTGAATATATTTTTGCAAAAAAGACAACTCTTTAAAAGCATGCTAGAAAGTTAAGGGCAAGATTCATATTGTGTTGTCAACTATGTGAAAAATTACAAATAAGAAAAAAAAATTGTCATTCATTCTTTGCTGATTTTCATTATTCCCATAGTTAAAATTATAGCTTGTATTTAGATAGCTTTTGGTTTAATGCTTTTCATAAACAAGTCCTATTAAACTTCCCTTTCTATTCCCATGTCCTCACTATTTACCATAAATCTTTATTTTTTATTACATTTAGGTTCCTAGCCCTGGTGCCAATTATTGCTAGATAACAACAATAACAATATAGAAAGTGATTTTTTTATTCTAAAAATGAATAGAACCAAATTCAGTAAATTCTTTTTCAACAAAGATGTAAACCTTAATTAAATGTGCTCATAAACAAAGCATTCCATAGTTTTGGTTCATTGTTAACAAAGAAAGCAATGTCCATCATCTTTAATACTTGTTTATACCATGAGAGATTTCAATGCAGAGAGCATAAAGCACTGGATGAACAAGAGATTAAAACTCACCTAAAATAAACAGGGGTCTACAAAGTTTTGAAAATTAAAATCAATGAGAAATTATATGTTAAGTCAGTTCATCAGCTCAGGGGTTGAAATGTAGAAGAAATATGATCATAATTTTTATTAACCTTGCTGTAATATTTCTCAGCAACTGAAGTTTTCTTTTTTTAAAAAAAATATATGTTTATTGATTTCAGAGAGGAAGAGGGATAGAAGGATAGAAACATCAATGATGAGAGAGAATCATTGATCGGCTGCCTCCTGCACACCCCTTACTGGTGTTTGAGCCAACATCCTGGGCATGTGCCCTTGACCAGAATTGAACCTGGAACCCTTCAGTCCACAGGCCAACGCTCTATCCACTGAGCCAAACCAGCTAGGGCTGAAGTTTTCTTAAAGATACTAGAGGTTCCGCACCCTCTCACAATCCGGGACCCCTTGGGGGGATGGTGGACTGCCAGTTTTTGCCCGATCCCCGGAGGCCAGGCCAAGGGACCCCACCGGTGCATGAATCCATGCACTGGGCTGGTTTTGGCTCAATCCCCACAGGCCAGGATGAGGGACCCTATTGATGCACGAATCCGTGCCTCTAGTATGCATATAACATCTTTGGTTAATCTCTTCCCGCCTTTCCCCCTGTCCCCTTCCCTCTGAGATTCATCAGTCTGTTCCATGTTTCCATGCCTGTGGTTTCCGCTCCTGCATTGAGTGTCTGTCTCCTGGTGGTCAGTGCAAGCCATAGCTACCGGCCAGTTGCCCATCACTTAGGCTTTTATATATATAGATATTGTATATTAAAAGTCAAATGACAGAAATATGGAATAATCAATCTATGAAGAAAATAAGAATCATTTGGAAAGTGATAAAAATCAATGATAGTTTTCCAAGACAGTAAGAAAATATGTTCATTTATTAAAAGAAGGAAAAATATTTATGTTAAGTAGTTCAAACATTAAATCAAATGTCAGATTCCATGTTTTTAAAGAACAAATACTTTAATCATAATAATTGTAAATTTTTTACTGAACTATTATTGCTAAATACTATGTAAAAACCTGAAAATACTGACAATAAAAATAAGTGTTTGCTGATATATAAACTTATTAAAACTATTTACAGTATTCTGAAGTATAAGGAGAAAAAAAATGAGTGGAGAGGCCAGGTATACGAATGTAGTAAATTAGAGTGCACTCCCCCATTAATAGTTGCAATTTGATAATATGGGCAATTGTAGCCAGATAGTCTGATTATTCAAGCAAAGCCAGAGATTTGGATTTTAATGTAAAATTCCTCAAGTTTGAAAGATTATGTGACACATATGACACAATCCTGCTGGCTGAACCTGGCCTTTTAGCCAGTGGTTGCAGCACCTAGTATAAAGCAATGCTATTTTGCTTCTGTATGGCTGATTTACATTTACTGTGAAGAAAGAAAATGTTTCAGACACCTTAATTCAATTTTTCTTATGTCAATTCTATTAACACCATTCTTTCCTTTAATAAGTATACAAATGGATATACAAAATTTTAAGATCTTCTTAATCATGCTTTCATTTCCAAATGTTTTGACATTGGCAGGAGGCAGAAGAGAAAAGGGAGTTTATATGTGTTTCCTGACTTGTGAACGTTTAGAACAGTGAACATCTCACAGGTACATAACTGCAATCTAGACTACTTTTCCTTCTTTCCTTCAGTCAGCCTTTAGTTATTCAAAATGACAGAATGCTGAAAACAGCTATTTGTTTCAGGAGCAGATGGGAAAAGTAGCTGCTTTAAAATGTGATTAAAATACGAGGCCTCTGTTTAGTATTTATTTTACTTTTTAAGCTTCAGATTTTAGGCTTAAGCATCTTTAATCAAGAGAAGAAGGACCAGACAGCTGTGGCAGCCCTAGTCCACTGCTTATGTCTCTGTGTGGGGAATATACTATAAAAAACAAACAAACAAACAATAACAGCAAACAAACAACCAACTCCATCTTTTGCCAAGGCTATGAGAAAAAAAATCACTCATATACTATTGCTGAGAGTTTAGTGAGGGTGTACAATCTTCATGGAGAGGAAAAAGCCAATATTTATTAAAATTAAAAAATGCATTTGCTATTTGGTATGGGATTATGGTGGTGGTTACACAAATCTATTCATGTGTTAAAATGTATAGAACAGTATATAAAAAGAAAAAGTCAGTTTTAGAGAATGGTAATTAAAAATTTAGAGAATGGAAGTGAGCCTAGAATGTGGGCACCTGGGTTGTGGTCATTATCAAGTTAATAATCACAGCACCATAAAGGTGAGCAGTGAAGACAACTCCTGTCTATTACCTCATCTAACTTTATGATCACCCAACTGACATAGAGACTATTCCCCCATTTTTGCAGAGGAGTACAGCGAAGCTCCATGAGAGGGGAACTGACTTGCCTAGGGACACGTGAGGAAGCCCAGACCAAACCCAGGCCTGTCTGTACAATCCCACCAAAAGGCTGCATCCCCAATGCACCCACTCTCTGTTGTTTTGAGGTGGTTGAAATAATAATGAAAAAATTTTTTAAATGCATTTTCTTTTTGGCCCAGTAATCCTACTTTTCAAACATATCCTATAGATATCCTCGCAAAGTTTTCCACTGAGGCAGTGTTTATGTCAAGAAGAGTTAAGACAACTCAAGTGTTCCTCCTTAAATAAACGATGGCACAGACTTTCAGTGAAATACCATATAGCTCTACACAGAAATGAAGAAGCTCTCTATGCAGAGACATTGAAACAAAAACAAAGCAAAACTCCAAGATAAACTGTTTAGTAAAACAAGCAAAGTGCAAAACTATATATGGTATGCTATCACTCGGGAAAGAAAGGTGAGGTTATATCTGTATCTATATCCATCGACAGTTTAAATTTGTGTGTATAAACGAACAGCAGAAGGATACACAAGAAACTAGTAATGGCGGACTAGAGTGGGGTGGTGGTGGGAGCACATGAGGACACGAGTGGAAGCAAGACACTCAGTGAATAGCTTCTAAATACTGTCTTAAGTTTTGAGCCATATGTGGAAAGTTAAGCAAACAGTTAAGAAAGAAATGGGCTAAAAGGCAGCGGAGCAGAGCTATAAGCTTGTGTCCTAACCTTTTCCTTGGCTTCCAGGAGTAGCAATTTGACTTTAAATGCATTCAGCTCTAGCAAGAACAAAGCAGAACTTAGGTTTCACTGGCAGTGGTTTCTGCTACATTTGAGTCTGCAGAAGCAAGGGAAAAACTGCATTGGAGACTTATCTGAGGAACACATTTCTTATGATTCAAAATAGAGGCATCAACTAAGGATACACAGTTTGGTTCTTAGATTTGTTCAGCATAGTCCACTAAACGTATGTCATACTTTTATCTGAAAAAGGAAGAAAATGCCAGGTCAACTGACTTCAAAACTAGAATTAGGATTCCTTATTTCTGCTTCAAATTGCTAAGAACTAACTATTGTATGCTGTGTTTGAACGAGCCAAGGGTTCTAAAACTCTGGTCTCAGCAGTTAAACTGTCAAATATACTATATATGAGATAACGTATATCTACTTCACTGCCATCCCCTAAGAATCCGTCTACATAGAATCCTCACTGGGAGTGTTTCCTTATTACAAAAAG